TTCTTTCTGTTAGAAACTGGCCTGGAGAGCCTCCTCCTCCTCCTTCCCACTGGTGCAAGTCAAGTTGGTGTTTGTTTGGACCTTTTGGAAAGAAACCACCTAGTACTTACATGCCTGGAAACGTAGCTGGGCAGAGAAGGCAGGCTCTACCTCTTCTCACTTAAAAATCCAAAGGTGGAAAACTGGATGAAAAGAACCACAAATCTGAGAATCCTACCCTAGATTCCATCTCAACTTTAGTGAGAACTTCTTGACAGTAAGAGCTGTTTGCCAATGGAATACAGTGCCTTGGACTCTGGCAGAGTCTCTCTCTTTTTAAAAATTATTTATTCATCCCTATAAACATCTATAAATACACTTGTACAAACACATTTAAGAATAGTCCGCTCATCGTCTTACAATACAATACAATACTTCCCAAAGTTTCCTTGACAACAGATACCTTTATATATTCACATGATTCCTAAGTCTTATCCTGTCTCTAAAATGTATTTAACAGCTCTCATTCATAAAAAAATAATCATACATGTATCCCCTCTACTGTTATGATCCTGTCCTCTTATAAAACTATTTTCTTATCCTTTTTATAGTTCTACTTGCTGTTTCCATCCCATCTTATCTTAATATATTCTACAATTGGCAGAGTCTCCTTCTTTGGAGGCTTTTAAACAGAGGCTGGATGGCCATCTCTTGAGGATGCTTTGATTGTGAGTTCCTGCATGGCAGAAGGGGGGGTTGGATTGGATGGTCCTTGAGGTCTCTTCCAGCTCTAGGATTCTAGCTTCTGAATAGGTTCAGGACCTCAAACAGCTGCAAACTTGAAAGGAGCTGCCTGGGATCCTGGCTGAAACTGTGATGCACAAAGCAACATTGGTTGGAGGTTGTCTCATTCTCACCCTGCCAGCAAAAGCATACCCAGAGGGGTGAAAAAGATGCTTTTTTCTTGCAGCTTTTGGTGAATCCTGGTGCGTGGTGTTTGAAATGATAATGTTGGCTCCCATTTCCCTCCCCACCCCTGATGCTGATGTGCAAGGACTGGTCAGCATTGCTGTTTTGGAAAGGGAAGGGTGTCATTTGACTGGGGCCGACCTCCACTCTCATTTTCTCCTCTCCTGTTTGGTCCTGCAAGAGACTCCAGTCTCCTGCAGAGGTTGCTTATTAAATGTGGCTGGGGAGAAAGAAGGCAATCCCGCTGTTTACTGACACCACCGGGATCAATGGAATGGGAAGAGAGAAGGGAGAAAATGGAGTTTGCGCGCTTTGCGTGGAGCCGCGGCAAGTCTGGAACTGAAGCACCATCCGCAGATCCGAACTCAATAATTCCATTTAGTTTCATTGTGCCTCTTCACACTGTGCTTTAGATTCAGCCATTGACAGGGCCATAGATTGTAACTGAATATTCCTCAACAAGAAAAGTCAGTAAGTGACAAAAACGTATAATGCATAATAGCGAAGACCCTTGGTACGATTGGTGATTTAGCATCATTCTCTCGGCTTTGGCTCCCTGTCTCCAAAGGCTATAAAGGTCCCATCTTCGCCGCTGCTGAAAAGTTGTATTCAGTGAGGCTTCCAGTTCAGAAGGCATTGCTCACGTATTTCTAAGCATTTTTGCTGTCATAAAGACTAGAAATTTGTATTATTATTATTATTTACCTTTCAGATCCTCAGGAAGCTGTATTTGATGCCCATACCCAGGAAGGGAGTGCATCGAAGTAACCGATGCACACACTGGGAACAATGCAGATCGATCCTGCTGTGAATGGGGACACTGGCTTGGAGGTGCTGGTGCATACTGGTAGAGCCCAATGAGCACAAGGACACTTCCACTGGGCTCTCATTCCACATCTTTGAAATTCGGTAACCCTTTGCTTCGTACCAAAGTACAGGCTTCCCCCGCTTTTGCATGCCTTGCTTTCCAATGCCTGCAACTGACAAACAAGTTCCATTAATTTGACAGGGGTTCCGC